AGCGCTGCTACACGGTGAGCGTCAGCTATGCGTGAATCTCGAGCAGCGCACGTAGCGCCGGGCTCTGCGCCAAAGTGCACACGGCGGCGAATAGGTGAGCACAAGAAAAAAGGGTTTATAGAAATGAAGTGTGCCAAAACCGCAGGCCCGTGGCTTGACGACGGTGTTCAGGTGGGCCCTCTCGTGCCTCTCAGTCTCTCCTCCCTCTCCTCAGGCTCTCACGTCTCAGCGCTTCTATCTCTCTAGCTCCCCTCAGCCCTCAGCCCCTCACCCCTGCGCCCCTCTACAAACAGCTTCGAAAGTGTCTCCTCCCAGTGATCCGCCACCATGTAGTCGCCAAGGTACCCAAACAGATTCACCTGGCCCGGGGTGTACGCGTCGATCTTGCACCCGTCGCACGCGCTGAGATTTTGCCCCGCAATCTTGAGATGCGGGAAAGTGTTGTAGCGGTCATTGCTCAGGATCTCCTTGCCAACCTGTGCCGCCCACGAGCCTTCCCCCCACGCGCGGGTGGTGAGAGTGGCGCGACTGGGATGGCTTGGGTGTGGGAGGACGGCACGCCGCCACCACACAGGGATTTCACTGGAAGGAAAGTGTGTTGCTAGCCGTCGCCCACCCTTGGGGGCGTCCGCCTCTCCCTTCGCAGTCCCTCGCCGATTCTCGCTGCAACCTTCATGCCACCTCGCGGTCGTCCCACTCTCGTCGTTCTCCCTCCTGTCGCGTCTTCCTCTGTCGCGTCGCTCTCCTCTGCCTCGTCCTGCGACGCCGCCGCCGCCTGCCGATCCTTGCTCTCGCGGCTTCTCCCGCCTTTCGGCGCAACTCTGCCCTCCTCGCGGACACACACACACACGCCCGAACAAACCCAAGTGAACTAGCAAAAAAAAAACGACAAGCTTAGCAGCGTGCGCGGACTCTCCGCGCGCCACCGCCGCCGCCACCGCTGCCCGACGAAAATGCGCGCCCTTCGCGTGCTGTCCGTGCTGCACGGCGCGGCGATCACCAGCGCGGCGCTCACGCGACTTGCTGCCGTACGCGGCAGCGCATCAGCGCGCATGCTGGCCACGGCGACTCGCACCGCCGCCGACGTGGAGATGCTGCGGTTTGCAGACCTCGAGATCTCGTCGTCGCTGCGAGGCAACATCGCGGCACTCGGCCACGAGTTCGCGACACCTGTGCAGAGCGCTTCGATGCCGCCGCTGCTGGCTGGGGAAGATGTTGTCGCCAAGGCCCGCACCGGGACGGGAAAGACACTTGCCTTTCTCGTCCCGACGCTCCACCGACTGAGCACGTCCGAGCGACCTCAGGGCCAGATTCGGGCACTGGTGCTGAGCCCGACGCGAGAGCTCGC